AGGGGTTAGGGTTAGGGGTTAGGGTTAGGGGTTAGGGTTAGGGGTTAAGGTTAGGGGTTAGGGTTAGGGTTAGGGTTAGGAAAAAAAGTTATAATCCAAGGCATCTTTCTTTCTTTCTTTTTCTTTTTTTTTTTTAGCATGAAAAGTTGCTGGTGTTTTTTAATTAAATTTTTATTTTTATATATTAATTACTGTTTATTCATTTTGTTTCCCAGCTGTAATCCCCTCTCTCATTACCTCCTCATCCACCCTCTCTCCCTCATCTCCTCCCATGCTCCTCCCACAGTTCACTTATAGGGGAGGTCCTCCACCTCTCCCATCTGACCCTAGTCTGTTAGGTCTCATCAGGACTGCTGTTTTGTCTTCCTCTGTGGCCTGGTAAGGCTGCTCTCTCCTCAGGGAGAGGTGATCAAAGAACAAGCCGCTGAGTTCATGTTCAAGTACAGGCTCCTCAAGCCTGGGGCATTGTCAGAGAGAGTCCCTGTTTTCCTTACTATGGAACCCACTTGGATACTGAGCTGCCATGGGCTACATCTAAGCAGGGGTTCTAGGTAATATCCATGAATACATTGAAAGGCATCATGTGAATATTAGGTAGCTGAGTTACATCAAAGTGGGGAAATCTTTGCTATAGATTTAAAATATTTTCTGATGACATTCTTAGTTTTTAGTTAGGGGTGCCTTGTGGCTTGTTAACATGATTCAAAAGGTTTTGTACGATAGTAGTTAAGGACTGTTATATCAGACATACGGGTGGGAAATGATTGCTTATTAAAGGAAATATAGACATCTTCAGACGATTGAGCCTTCTAATATACAGGGGAGATCTCTTCCATTGATCTGTTAACTTGAATACATTTGTGAAATTTTATATGACAAATAGGTCAACTTTTCGTTTTAGCCTTGAAACCAGAGGGCTATATTAAAGATTAATGTGCTCTGATATTCACTTTCATATATACTTAGGTTTCTTGATTAGTTTCCTACATTGATATCAATGAAAACTCAGATGTCATAAAATAAACTGACAAGTGGGTAAGTCTATTTTAATGAAAGTCCATAATCCAACTGATGAAGTAATGAAACACACAGGACAGAAAAGATAAAGAAAGAGGCATTTGTCCATTTTCTGTCTCAGGCCACTTCAGCATTGTTGAGTCTTTGGAAACTTTAGATAGACATCTCAAAAATCCTTGCTATAACCACAGGAAATTCTTGGTTTTTCAAGGTGCAGTAAATTCATTTTCAGATATTAGGGAAGACTTGGGTGTTTAAGGGAAATGTGTAAGGAATGAAAATCACACCACTGCACAAAAACAGAATGGCTGCTAGAAATGCCAATACCATGGCAACACCAACTTTCTCTGTATGTGGGTAAAAGGGAATACGGAAAGATCGTGGAAAGTTAATCCCTTCTCTGTTTATGATGGAGAAATAATTACACAAAACAGCAAGGAAGACAAAGCTACTGGCAATGATGCTCAGAATCGCTGAGAGGCAAAAAGCATTTTGGGTGACATTCTGTTCTTCTCTTCCCATGTACACATTTCTAAGAACAATAATAGTAGCAACTTTTCCAACCACCCATAAAATGCTGGTAATTAGCAACAGGTGTTGAGAAACACGAATATCCAAAGGGATGAAGGTGTCATAGTAGCTGTAATGGTGACACATTCTAATATTACTGAAGTTGACATGGTGATAGATGCAGGCTTTCCACATTCCCACAAAGGCCACCCGAGGGTAAGAGTTTATGGGTTCCTTGAAATACCACACTCGCCACTGCGGAAGACCCATGGAGGTGGAGCAAAGAATCCATGCTATTGTGGACAAAGCAAAACCTCCTATTCGTCGATTGGAATTTTTGTTGATAAACATGATGAACACTGGACAACTGCAAGGAAATACAAGACAACATAAGTACAGGCTCCTCAAGCCTGGGGCATTGTCTGTTGGGTGGCTAGTAACAGGAAGGAATAATTGTTTATGTTTGAGAAAAAAGGCTTTTGTTCTGGAAATTGGTCTGAGAAAATTGGGAATATGGTCTGAGAAAATTAAGAGAAGAGCCCTGGAGGAATATTTACTATGGGTTGACAATGAATTTTAACAGTTCCATTTCTGACTGTTGGTCCAGATGGACAGTGAGGTTTGAATACAGACATTCAGCCATAAAGATGATCACCAATTTTTAATATTGGGGAGTGTCAAAACCAGCATAACCTATGTTTCAATTTCTGGATCAGGCAGGGCTTTATAGTGAGACCCTGTATTAAAAAAAGTAACACAGCAAAATTAATAAATGACGAATTAATAAATTAAAGAAAAAGTAATAGAAGACATATATTCTGGTAAACACATACAATTTACTGCTCAGTGTACATTACTTTGAAGCAAACCAAGTCACTGGAATATTACCTACCACATGTCAAAAGAGAGAATTTAGGAACCTAAAAAAATGTTCACCAGGAAGCAAATCTAAAATGCATAAAAACCAATAAACATATTTTTGTGCTTTTGCACTATCATATTTTTGAATATTTGTTATTTAAATATTTTTCTTAGCTTTTCTTAAAATTTTATTTTATTCTACCTTTTGAGACATAGCTTCACTAGAATATACAAGCATTTTTCTCCAGTTCACTGTGTGACCCAGGTTGGTCTCATATTAAAAAAAAAAAAAATTAAGGTGCCTCAGATTCCTGAATACTTAGATAATAAGCTTGTGCCGCTATACATGGCTCATGTCAGGTTTTATATCATTGTTTTATGACTGTTACTATTTTTTAAAGTGATATCATTAGAAGTCAGAGACTTGTGTGTGCTAGATAAATGGTTTGTATCATCATCCAAAAGTGTGGGTTTTCTAGGGCTATTTTCAGGTACTATCTATAATCATGACCTTGTGTCACAGAAAGCAAATATGAGAAATAAACTGCTAGAGGTGATCCAAGGGAAAACAGTTTCCTGAATCCAACTATCTTCTACATGAGTAGAATGTAACTCCTGGAAACAAAGATATGAAGGTGTCTCCATTTTCATTGTCTAAGAAACAGCATTTGAGGGCTAGATAAATGGCTCAGCTGTTAAGAGCACTTATTACTCTTGTAAAGGACTTGGGTTCAGTAATCAGTAAGCATATGGTAGTTAATAATGACTGTATCTCCAGTTCCAGGGGATCTGATACCTCGTCGGTACTTCTTGGGCTCCTGGACATGCATGCACGCACACACACACACACACGTACGCACACACACTTAAAGTAAATAAATGTTAAAATATTTAAGAAGCAACATTTAGAGGGCTGGAGAGATGGCTCAATGGTTAAGAGCACTGACTCTTATTACAGAGGATCTGGGTTCAATTCCCAGCACCCACATGGTAGCCCACAACTGTCTATAACTCTAAGATCCAACACCCTCACACAGACATACATGCAGATAAAATACCAATGCACATAAAATAAAATAAATTAAATTTAAAAAGTATAAAAAGCAACATTTAAAGGTGACAGTTATTCGTTGTTTTGTCCATAGTTTGTATTTCTTGTATGATTCTTATGTATCAGCTACTAAAGTCAATCTCAGATTCAGCCAATGTGGGGAGATATACCAACAACAGGTTTTATTGTAGCAGATGGTGGAAAGATGAAACCATGTAATGGTGGGGTGATGGTGGAGAATATTTTTGAAGGATGCTTTTCCTAACTGAACCAAAAGGAGGAGTCCAAATGTGAGAAATATGGAGAGGGGATTGCCACCATGTGTCTGAGACCTGCCCTGGATGGTGAAGTCAATATATATTCTAGCCTTAGAGGCTGATGAATGGCAGGTATGGGTCAGGTGAATGAAGGGCAAGTGGGAAAAGATATACAATTTAGTCTCTGAAGATCACAGTGTTCTGAAGGTTCTAATGGCAGTATCCTGGGCAGGAGCACAAATAAAAGATTGTTGAAAGACTGGTTCCTGAAATCATATGTAATGTCCAAAACAATACTGGAAGGGACCATATCAACAATTATGATTATCTTGGAATAGATAGTCCTGAACAAATTATTTTTTGGCAATGGAGAATGGAGCTACTGTATCACAAATGCTAGGCAAGCACTCTACCACTGAACTATATTGTTAGCCCTGTAAAAATTTACATTTTGAGACAGCGTCTTGAAAGTTGTCCAAAGTAGTTCAGAAAAACTTTTTTTTTTGAGACAGAGTCTTCTGTGTAGCTCTGGTTGTCCTGGAACTCTATATATAGACCAAGCTCGACTTGACCTCACAGAGACCTGTCTGCCTCTGCTTCCCAAGTACTGTGATTAAAGGCATATGTCACTACACTCAACTTAAGGAAGTTATTCTTTTTGGTATGTTTTTTTTGAACTGCACCACAACCTTGTTATGTAGGCAATGATGGATTCAAATTCATTATGTAGCTTGGGCTGTACTTAAACTGGAATGACTGGCTCAAATTTAGTGTGGAGACATACTGGACTTGAAGAGGTGTTCCTCGTGCTTTGGCCTGCACCTGGGTACCATGTTGCATTTATGAGAATGGTATTTAGAACACAATGAACACTAATATTTGAATTAAATTCCTGAGATGCCCTTTGCTTTTGAGGGATGGTTGAAATGAAGGAGTGCACACTCTCTTCCTAGTGTAAAAGCTCCCACCAGAAAAGCCATTTATGCTCAATTGACATCAATAGATTCATCAAACTAGCTCTTTATTCTAGGCCCATCTCTACTGCAAAAATTCTAATAAATAAATAAATAAATAAATAAATAAATAAATAAAATGTTCTACAAATTAAATTCCCACTTAAGTGGGAAAAAGAATTGAGAGAGTTCAGGGAGTCCATAGAGCAGAAGAAGGGACAGCACTTTGCACCCTGCATATTTGTTTTTTGGGGGTGTTTTGTAGTAAAAGAGCCAGGAAAACTTCTAAGAACATGGTAGCATGGCATGAAGGATGATATCATAAAAAAGTAAAAGTAATCCTGGGTGGGTTTTTGGTTTGGTTTGGTTTTTTTTATTTTTTATTTTTTATTTTTTTTTGAGACAGGGTTTCTCTGTGTAGCCTTGACTGCCATGGACTCACTTTATAGACCAGGCCAGCACTGAACTCACAGAGATCTTCCTGCACCAGCCTCTCTTAGTGCTGGGATTACAGGTATGCACCACGTGCCAGGCCTTCATGGCTTTTAATGTATTTTACAAGACATTTTATGGGAAGAGATCTTTAACAAGTGATGAGGATGCCTAAGTCGCACAGGTATCTTGATTGTGCAGCACAGATTCACCTCTATGAGGCAGTAGTGGTGTCAAAGAAAGTAGCCATGGGACTGATCCAGCAATCATAATGGGAGTTGAACACAAAACACACACACACACACACACACACACACACACACACACACACAGGCACACACACACACACACAGAGAGAGAGAGAGAGAGAGAGAGAGAGAGAGACAGAAAGTCACACACCGAAGCATTGCATATAATCAGGTGTTTATTTACACATATGTGCATTCGTAGAAAGACAGGCATACTCTCACACATCAACACATGTAAACATAGACACAGGTGCATATGCACACAGGTTGACAAGAGGATTGTAGCTCATTTACAAGGTGTCAATATTACAAAATCATGCTATCTGATGACCTTTCTGCTGTGCATTGATAGCACATGTGACTTTCCATATTTGTGACTAGCATGCAAAAATCAAAAGGTCAGGCACCTTCAGCCATTCATAAAGGAAGGATCTGTGAGTGGAAAGGAAATCAGGGATAAGACAAGGTGAACTTTGGGCCACGTTTCCTGACCATTTGCTACAATTCAGATAGAGAACATAAGACACAGAATGTAACAACAGGGTGAGGTAGCAATGTCACAGAAAGACAGAGAGACACAAAGAGATTGAGACAGAGAGACAGACAATGGTGCTAATACATGGCACCGTGACAGAGACTAGACCATATTACATATAACTAACCTGGAAGAAAGTCCACACTCAAAATTCAAAGCATAGTTTCTACAGAGCTTTCTCTGTCTTTCACATTCTTGTGATGTTAATAAATAAATCATTAAATTGAGATATCATAACTCAAAGCTTCAGTGTTGACCAGCTTTTCATAGGTGTGACCAAAATACTTGAGAGAACAAATTTAAAAGGAATTACTCAGTTTGGGTCAGATTTCAGAGATTTGAGACTGTTATCCTTGACTTTGTGGATTTCATGAGTGTTGAAGACAGGTATTTCTGTGGTGATACAGAGGGTATTCACCTCATAGAGGACAGAGATCTGACAGAGAAGGTAAAATCTCCAAAGGTACACATGCTAGATATGTCGTAACTACTTAAGTGTCAAAAACTTGACACAGCAGTATCACCAGCTAGATACCAAATATTTAACACATGAACCTTTTGGGAACAGATCACATCAAAGCTATAACATCATCTCAGAAGATCAAACACTGTGTGATTACACTAAGGAGATCCCTGAGGTAGTCAATCCACAGAGGCAGAAAGTAGAATAATGGTTACTAGGAGCTGGGAAATTAAAAAAATGGGAGATGACATTAAATAAGGACAGCATTTCTGTTGGGGAAGATGAACAGTGGTGGCTGCTCCACAGTACTGTGAATGAATTTATAGCTACACATCTGTATACTTAAACAGGTCAGTGATAAATTGTGATTATGTATATTTAGCCACATTACTTAGAGTATAGAACCTAGGATGGATGGAGTGTCTACTAACCAGCAATGCTGTCTTCAAGTAAACCAGTGACCTGATATGTGGCAAAACAAACAGCTATCTGGACCTGCAGGAATGACGAGGTCACAGCTCTCCTAATATGTCCTTTGATGCTTGTTGCTGGCAACACAAGTAGCCT